ATCAAAGACCTGCCACTTCAGAGGATGCAAGCTGTGCAGTGATTGGCCACAGAGCTTGTCAGTATCCAATTTGGCTGAGGAAGCTGAGCAAGTAGGAGATGGGCAATAGTTTGGGGTTTTCCACTGACAAGAATGTTTAAACATCTCTCTCTCTCTGTGTATATATATATATACACATACACACATCTCTATCAATCTATATCTCCCTTTTGCTGGCTTAACATTCTGAGATCATCAGAGGCCCACCCACACCAAATTCCTAGTGCAGCTTGTAATGACCTACCCCTGATCTAAGCCCTTAACTTTAAAAATTATTCTTCTGCAAGTCCCTCAGGTTGGACCAGGGTGTCCCACTTCGCCAGCCACACCCTCCTTTATAATTTCCAGGACTCTCTGATGTGTGATGAAGGTATATTCTGTGGAAAAACTGATCCTCACAGAGGCAGGTATTATATTCTCCAAGGTGGCTTTCCCTATGCTTATATGATTCCTGGGCAGGTTATACTACTGAAGGTAACACACAATGAAGTAAACACACGCACACAAACCAAGAAGTTACTTTACCTGGTAAGAGTGATTGGTTTGTCTCCCACCCTCTTTGGCTCTTACTGTAACCAAATTACAGAAAGCTGGGTCTTGGGGGGGGGAGGAGGAGGAGGAGATTGAATTTATACCCTGCCCTTCACTCAGAGCCTCAGAGCAGCTTACAAACTCCTTCCCCTTCCCCTCCCCACAACAGACACCCTGTGAGGTAGGTGGGGCTGAGAGAACTCTTTCCAGAACTGTCCTTGAGAGGACAGCTCTGACCAGAACTATGGCTTGCCCAAGGCCATCCAGCAGCCGCAAGTGGAGGAGTGGGGAATCAAACCTGGTTCTCCCAGATTAGAGTCCACGCACTTAAACACTACATCAAACTGTACACGTCACTCTCTTCTCCTCCATATTATCCTGAAGTCCCTACCAGACTCCCTGCCTAACCAGAATACCTCCTAACCACCCCCCACCCTGCCTTAGTTTAACAGCTCACAGTTTGTTTCTCCTAACAATACATCCCCCCTTTAACGGTGACCAGCTGTAGCCAGGGAAGGCAACCTCACTCTTGTCCATCCCACAACCCATTTGAGGTCCTTGTAGCATACATTTTGGCCCTACCAATGCAAGGGAACTTAACGGTGCTATCCTAAGTAAAGTTACACTTTTCTTTTTAAACCCATTGAAATCAATGGGATTATAAAGGCACAATCTTTTGCTTAGGATAGCGCTGTTAGTTGGTATCATATCCTACCCACATCTAGCCATGTCATCCCCCCTCCTCCCGCCCGTAATACTGTTGCTGCCTACAGTGGATATCAGAAGGTGAATTTTTCTTTCAGGTTTCATGGCTTAACTTCTCCCTTGTACCACTTTCTGAATTGAATCTGGACACCCCATGCTATTGTTAGTATTTTAAAGCAGTAGGGATACACATGCACATACACAAGTATGTGTATGTTTAAAGGATGTGACTGATGTATGTATGTGACTGATGTATGTATGTTTAAAGGATGTGACTGATTTTCTTTAAAATGCTAATAAGAATGTGGGAAGCCCGGTTTCATTTAGCCACATGGAACAGAGCTGGACGTGTAAAAAGAGCCAGTTTGGTGTAGTGGTTCGGAGCATGGACTGTAAACTGGGAGAACCAGGTTTGATTCCCCACTCCTCCAATGCAGCTGCTGGAGTGACCTTAGGTCAGTCATAAGTTCTTTTAGAGTTGTTCTCTCAAGGGCAGATCTCCAGAAAGCTCTCTCAGCCCCACGTACCTCACAGGGTATCTGTTGTGGGGAGGGGAAGGAGATTGTAAACTGCTCTGAGACTCCTTTGGGTAGTGAAGGGCAGGGTATGAATCCAATCTCTTCTCTTCTTCTCCTCTCTGGCTGCCAGGGTCCCTCCGACTTTTTGCTCTCAACATTTGCTGCTTCGGAAGCCTCAGGAAGCCCAACTTTTGGGTTTCAGTTCGATGGTACAGTTGTAGCAATCAGCCTAGAAGCAGAAGGAACAAGGCAGGGGGAGCAGGGACCCTCGTGTTCTGAATGTACCTTGGCCGACCTGCTGTTTTATTGGTTCTCTGTAGCATTCTTCAAGACTGCCAGACAGCCGTTATTTACCGGCATTAAATTCCTCTCTCATCTGTTAGAAAATGTTCAGGTGGCAACCCAATCTTTTCCGACATGCCTAACAAAGCTTTTATCCCTGCTGGCATTTCCTCATTCATTCTGGAACATAAATAGTTGCATTGATTTTTAAAACATTTTTACTGCCCCAAAAATAAAACATTTTCGGTGCCTGTTATGACTCATCTGTGTACCCGTTCACTTGTCAACATCCATTCTTTCCCCACCCCCGTCGGCTTTCTCCAATCCTGACCACTCACAGGAGAGTTGGTGTGGAATATGGGTTGGGAGTAGAAGCTGTGGTTTTGGCAGGTCCCGGATTCCAGTCTCTCCTCTGCCACAAACTTACTTGGTGGACTTGGGAAAGCCATTCCGGCTCTGCTCCCACCATAATGCCGTATGGGGATAAGACTGGCTGACCTTGCAGAGCTGCTGTCAGGATTACCGGGACAATAGATGCGCTTGACAGTGCTATAGAAATGTTGATTATTATGGTAGATGAAAATTCTGTACAAGCAAGAGGGGAAAGCCAGTCCTCCCTAATTCCTCATCCAGTTGGCGACGGCTGAAATAAAAATCTGGAGGTCTGCCTGAAAGCAAATACAACTGCTATCAATAACAATCCTAGTATGCATTTGTTTAGTAGTAGTTGTTGTAGTAAGTAAATTTATTGCATATGGCTGTAGGCCGTTACAATATAAAATATACAAAATATAATTTTAAGGTATTTGTTTAGCATAGCCAGATATCTGCTGGAGATTACCTTAAAGGTAAAGGTTTCCCTTGCTTGAAAGCCAGTCAAATCTGACTCTAGGGTGTGGTGCTCATCTCTGTTTCCAAGCCGAAGAGCTAGCGCTGTCCGAAGACGTTTCCATGGTCATGTGGCCAGCATGACAAGACGCCGAGGCGCATAGAATGCTGTTAACTTCCCACCGAAGTGGTACCTATTTATCTACTTGCAATTTCTTGCTTTTGAACTACAAGGTTGGCAGGAACTGGGACCAGAGATGGGAACTCACTCCCATCTTGTGGCACTGGGGTCTCGAACTGCTGAACTATCAACCTTCCAGCCTGCAGTTTAGCGTCTTAACCACTGAGCCACCGCAGCCCCTCAGAGATTACTTTGGGGCCTGTCAATAAGGCAGCAAACGGGATTAACCTACAGTTGCCAGGTCCCCCACCACCACCAGCAGGGGATGGGAGGCAGGTTTGCCAGATCCAGGTTGGGGAACTCCTGGAGATCTATGGGTGGAGCCTGGGGAGGACAGGGACCTCAGTGGGGTACAAGGCCATAGAGTCCACCATCCAAAGTATCCCTGTCGTCTGGAGATGAGGTATAATTCTGAGGAATCCCCAGGTCCCACCTGGAGGCTGGCCTCCCTAGATTTACCTGCCAATGACTTCGGAGTCAGAGCCCTCAAACAGTTAATGTGGAAATGGGGAGGGATGAAACTAGGGTTGGCGGATCCACACCATAAGGCACACATCCACCAACCCCAACTTTCCCAGGCAGGCCAGGGATGAAGAGGTAAAAATATCCCCCTGTTTGGCATGAGGGTCAGAAGATCAGCCTCCTGCTCACCCAAAGCTGAATGCTGGCAATCTGGACCCACTGTGCTACAGGCTTCACCTTCTGAGACTTAAGAGTAGCTGCTTGTCTTGCCCCAGAGCTGAGCTGTGTCATGCTATTACACCAAAGGGGGCAGGGTTTCTCCTCATTATTTCTCTCCACACCTCCCTCAACTCTTCATGGGTTCCAACGTGTTCCTTCTAATAGCAAAATTTTTGTGCCAGGCGGACTGTCTCTTAGTAAAGCAGACACATGGAGCCACTGACATACATGAGTGAGGGTTACTACATACATGGGGATTTGAACCCTGGTCTTTATCCTCCTAATCCAATGCTCTAATCATGCCTTTGGCAAGTATACATGAACACAAAACATTCATCTTTAGCTTGCAGAGCCTGAAGCTTGGTGAGAAGAAAAACACCACGTTGTCATTGTCGGCAAAAGAAAGATTTAGGTGCTTTCCTCTGCATTATCTGTTTGGGAGTGAGTCCAGCCAATTTCAGTAGTGCTTACTTCCAAGTAAGCCTACGTAGGACTGCAGCCCTAAAGTGCAATCCTAGGCACACTTACCTGGCAGTAAGTCCCAATGAATACTCTCTACCTAGGAGTGGGCTACAAGCGCCCAGCCCTAAGCCGATTTCCTCCCAAACCAGCCCCATTTAGAGCAATAGGATTGTCTCCCAAGCAAGCAAAGCTTAGTACTGCCGCCTTAAAGAACTCTGAACATCTAGCTCCCAACACTGCGGAATATCATAGCCGAGGTTCTCTGCAGCACACAGAAACTGAACACAATGCAGATGGGATCCCGATTTCTAACATAAAACTCCAAAAACCTCCACTAGTCAGATGCGCCAAAAAAAAAAGTGCTATCAAAGCTGCTAAATCTTTCTGCAGTACATTCCTCCCCCCTCCGACTGCAGTTTGCAGTAACTGAATATACTATTTATTGGTGATGAGACCCTGTCAAAACACATGCTGGAGATTAGTAAATGGAAGATCATCAAGAGAGACAAAAATAGATTTTTCTGTGCTCAATGCAAAGTTCAAATGCTACACCCCCCACCCCCCCGGCCAAGCAGCACTGAGCAAGTCACAGCCTCAACTGCACCTTTGTAAAATGGGGAATAGTGCGCATCAGGAAGCCCAGGAATGGTTTTATTGCCTGGAGAGCAGTTTGCCTAGATTGGGCTAGAGAGACTCTGGAGAAGTACACTAAAATCCCGCCAGGAGAAGTGGCTTAATTCTTGCACAAACACACACAAGCACAGAGTGGAGCCCACAGATCTTTATTTGCTTGAAAAAATATATATATATTTACCAAAGCAAGGGTGTAATACAGTTAAACACAAGCTGGCTCTATACAAATATTCTTTTTAAAAAGCCAACAGATTGAGACGCCGCATAGCTTTGCCTTTCTAACAATTCTCCACACTTTATTTTTCTCTCCATGTGTTACGGTCCTCCCCTCCCCTATCTTTTTAAAAAATTCTGATTGGAGCTTTATCAGTACACATGCTGAAAAATAACACGCCGGTGCTAAGGTTCACTGGGAGGCAGGCACCTGAAGGGCATTACTTGCGATTTACAATGACCATCCAATTCTGAACCATCCATCACCCCCATTGGAGATTGGGCGGGACCCGCCATCCACCAGGAGGCGGAGCCTGAAGGGAAGGAGGGAGCTCATGAACTGGTGGCCAACCAGGCGGATATTGGAAAATGGACTCTTCCTCAGGGTCGGCACTGGAAGGAGGGAGATAACAACAACACTGGATAAATAACTGGCATGGACATGGCACGTCTTCAGTGTTCAGAGTGTTTCAGATAGAGAGGAGATTGGATTTATACCCCATCCTTCACTACCCAAAGAAGTCTCAGAGCAGTTTACAATCCCTTTCCCTTCCCCTTCCCACAGCAAATACCCTGTGAGGTAGGTGGGGCTGAGAGAGCTCTCTCAAGAACTGTCCTTGAGAGAACAGCTCTGAGATAACTTGTGACTGACCCAAGGTCACACCAGCAGCTGCATGCGAAGGAGTGGGGAATCAAACCTGGTTCTCCCAGATAAGAGTCTGTGCTCCTAACCACTACACCAAACATTATTTCAGCAATCCCTGCAAGAACCCTGGGAGATAGGATCAGTATTATCATCCCCAGGTTGCAGATGGAAGTGTGAGGCTGGAAAACAACTGGATTGGCTACACAAATATAGTTGGAATAAAATCTGACCCTGGGATTTACTAATCCCTGGCTTAAATTCTTTGCCATCACCACCCCCAAGCTCTTCCGTAACTGATTTATGAACCGCAACCACTGTAAAGCCTGCTGCTCATACAGCTCTGCCCATGGTCGATACACATGTGAAGTCTGGCTCCTAGGAGTTTTCTGAGGCTAAGATAGTTGTGCTGGTTGGGGGGGGGGGGGACGGTGCATCAACAGAGTACTTCTCTGGATTGCTCCCTCAGTGTCACACACACACACACCAGAAACAGGCCTGGAACCACAATTCCAAAATGCACCACCAAATGAAGAAACACACCTAAAGCTCTACAAGGGACCTGCAAGCCACATCTACATACAGCTTGGCTGAGCAGAGCAATCCAAATAGTTGGCAGCAACTTCCGGTTTTGGCATTCGCCATAGCAGTCGCCTCTCCCAATTCTCTGGGAGAGGACTGCCAGAGTCCGCAGTAAGGAGGGGGCGCGATTGTCCACGCCACCCTTGGAGTCTCTGTAGGAGGTTCCTAGCCATGGGGCGCAAGAAAGCTCTTCCTCCGGCTATCCTGCCGGCGAAGGTTTTTTTTTCCCAATGCCCCGAAGGTCCTGTGGCAGAGCATCCCGAATGGGAAGAAGCGCATACCGGAGCAAGCGTTTGGTGGCCGAGCAATTTGCAAAGTAAAGCGGATCCAGCGTTGAAATGTGAGTTGGAGTTTAAGCAAGAATCACCGAAAATTAAGCGGAAACCCACCCTTTAAAAGCGAGGGGGGGACTCTCCCCCGTTAAGAAAAGAAACTAAGCGAAATTTGTGTTTAAGTAAAAAGGGTGGGTGGACCATTGAAGCAAGAGAGACTGAAAATAAAAGCAGTTAAGAACTTACTAAGCTGTGTCGGTAGAATCAGAGACGGTGATAACTTGGAGAAAGTGTAAACAATCTCAAACATGGCACAAACAAGAAAGGATGAGAAAGACAAACAATTTAAACCAAAACTTCTTGCCGGAACTGTCCTGCCCCAAGACAGGACATGACTATGGAGTTACAAAATATGTTGACGGAAGCATTGTGACCCCTGCTGGAACAAGTGACAGCTCTGCACAGCAAATTCGACGCACAGCAATTGCAATTGACTGAAATAGCCAAAAAAACAGATAAAACTGAACAAGAAGTAAAAGAAGTGGATTTGTTGTTGTTGTTCAGTCGCACAGTCGAGTCCGACTCTTCGCGACCCCATGGACAATCTCCCGCCAGGCTCTCCTGTCTTCCGCCGTCCTCCGAAGTTGGCTCAATTTCATGTTCGTTGCATCGCTGACACTGTCTAACCATCTCATCCTTTGCCGTCCCCGTCTTCTTTGACCTTCAATCTTTCCCAGCATCAGGGTCTTTTCCAGTGAGTGCTCCCTTCTCATTTGGTGGCCAAAGTATTTGAGCTTCAGTTTCATTATCTGGCCTTCCAGGGAACAGTCAGGGTTGATTTCTTTGAGGATTGACTGATTTGTTCTTCTTGCAGTCCAAGGGACTCTCAAGAGTCTTCTCCAGCACCATAGTTCAAAAGAATCTATTCTTCGGCGCTCGGCCTTCCTTATAGTCCAACTCTCACAGCCATACATGACTACTGGGAATACCATTGCTTTGACCATGCGGACTTTTGTTGGCAGGGTGATGTCTCTACTTTTTATCATGCTGTTTAGGTTCGCCATATTAATAACAATGAGTATTGTGCTGCACTAATCGCTTTCCAATCAAAAGACTCAAAGGTTAACTTATCCACAATCGGATACCATTTACCAGTTGGATTCATTAGTTCACATTCATTTTGATCATTCGTGTTAAAAATGGAAACGGTTTCTAATAAAAAATATTCCCATACTTTAGATAGCCATAAATTAATTGTCGGAGGATGTTTGTCTTTCCATTTCTTAGCAATAACATTTTTTGCGGCTGTAAAGAGTAGATTTATCAGTTTTCTCTGTTTGTTGGGAATGTCACTCTCAGGCCACAAATTCAGCAACATTAGTCGAGGATCTAGGGGAACATCGCAACCTACAAGAGTTAGTATTTGGGATCTTACCTGGGACCAAAATTTAGAAATATGTCTACATGACCACCATGTATGGTAGAAAGTCGCCTTCTCACCACAAAGTTTCCAACATTGAGGCGATATATACTCATTGTTATTAATAAGCTAGCAAACTTTTATTTGCTAGCTTACTCAGTATTTGAGTAAGTCAAATTGGAAGTCTGTATACACACTGACATATATATGAAAAATTGTTAAGATGTTGTTTGAGAAACTGTTTTTATTTGTTATGTTCTAAGTTAAAATCTAATAAAATATTATGGTAAAAAAAAATATTCTGAATGCTCTTAAAATGTATTGCTATAAGTCTTATATTGCTTTTTTTAGAAGTCAGGTGTTTAAAATCATATTATTAGTATAAAATGATTGTCAGATGTCCACATTCAATGAAATTGCATTGAATTATGTGCTGTAAGCTAAATTTGCTAAGCAGTTTGTATGACCACCATCTCTTGGGGTTTTTTAGTGGGTTTTCTTTACTTTCACCTATAGTATGTAGTCCCCTGTAGTTTTCATAGTTTGTAGTTTTTAGAAAATGCAAATAAAAAAAACCCCTACGGGGGGGGTATAAAACAACAACAACAAATAGTTGGCAGCCTCTGCAGCAGCACCGGGTCCAGAGCTGTCAAAAAGCAGATCACTCAGTGGCAGCGAGGCAAGAGGGCAGCACCAAACAGATGGGAGCCGTCCAAAGAGAGCCAGAGGGAGCCCTGGCTCCTGCCCTGGTTGCTGTTCAATTCAGCTTGTGGCAGAATCAGATGAGTACAGAGGCAGCAGGCAGGGGAAGCAGCAGGGAGGAGCAGGTCCCACTCTGGTGCTTGCTAGCACAGCCTGCCTCAAAAGACAGGCAGTGGGTGGAGACGCCACCAACAGAACCCTTCAGTGCTTCTTCCCTGAAAGGAGAAGAGGGTCCTGTGCTGTCTTCCTCACCCTCCAACCGCTCCCGGATAAGGAAACTGAAAAACGAAGAGCACAAGGCTGCGAATTTCAGAACCACGAGGAGGGGAAGAATGCAAGTTTGCAACCCTGAATCAGAGCTCTGCCTTCCACACTTGGGGATGCCAGGGATCCAGCGAGATCTACAAGTCAATAACAGTTTCCCCTTTTGGGGGTTGTTGGGAGGTGTTGGGAGAGATGGAGCTGCATGGGAAGGGACGGGAGGAATCTTGTTCTTACCTAATAGATAAATGATCTCACCTTTATTTCACACTCACTGTTTTCATGAAAATAAGCTCTCTGCTCATACCCCAGGCACCTGTATGCGCACTTGTGCACATTCACACACACACACCCTTTGATTCCTGCCACGACTTTTCCTCTGTTGTCTCTCCCAGCACTAGAGTCTGAATAGTAAGCTCTGCAGGATAGATAGGGGACACCCCCCTGTCATGTTACCTTGCTAAGTGCGGTGCGCAGCCACAGTGCAACGCAGACGATAGCAACAGATGTAGGATGCAAGCAAAATAAGCAAAATGCCGAGAGTGCTTTGGAAGTCAAAATGCCTCTTCTTCTCCCTGGGAATACAGGCAGACCTTCCGAGACCATCTGGAGTCCCGCAGGAACACCTCCAAGAGCAAGCCTGAAAAGCACGTACCTGTTTGTCTGAGCCGAGCCGAGCCGCTTGGCCCTCTTTTCCAGCCACTCCTCAATGATCCCTGGGGGATGCGCTATCCCGTCTCGCGGCTGTTCTTTCGCTCTCCTCTCCTCTGTTTTTTTCAGGAAGGTGACAAGAGTAGAGCTGCTTTAGTCTGCTGTCCTTTTCATCCATTAAGTCTGCTCTTCATTAGCCTGCAGTCGGTTCTCTCCGAGCCGACGGCTTTTGCCTGTGCAATTTGGCAATTTGGCCTGGGGCGGAACCTCCCCCCCAGCTGTCCTCCCGCGTTTGGAGACTGGGCCAGTTCCAGGCCCAGCCTATTTCCCTCTTCCTGTCCTATAGACCTTAGCCAGCACTGGCCACCAGCCCTGAACGGCTTTCAAAAGATCCGCCCTTCTGGCCTGGCTAGACCTGGGAGGTGAGCCAGCCTGGAAATCATGGCAGTTAAATAGGAGCCGGGCCTGCATGCGCTCCCAGATGATCTACAGGGTTCAAGGCCAAGCACCACGAGCCACTCGAACTGCTGCTTCTCCTGCTACTCTGAAAACAGAGCACTACCATTCTCTAAGCAGAGCAACCTCAACACAGAGAAAGTGTGGGTAAGATAGATATGCCCAAGAAACAAAGCCCTTTGTGAAACAAGAGATTCTGCAAATGCACGAATGAGGATTCTAAAGCATTCCAAGTCAACAGCACAGTTCCTGGGAACAGCAAAATGAGTAAAAGTGGCAACTCAAAACCAAGCATCAGAAGGAGGGGAAGAGAAAAAAAACCCAGGGAGAACAGGTCTTACTTGATGCTGGAAGGATAACAAAGTGCCAGGCAAGCATCCAAAGGGAAGCATTCCAAAGCTGGGGAGCCATGATCAAAAAGGCCTTGCCCTTGTTGTGACTCACCTCACCTCTGACAGGGGAAGGAGACTGAGAAGGGCTTCAGAGGATGATCTTAAGAGAGGTGCAGGAAGCAGGGGGGAAGATGGTCTTCTTTCCTTACTGTATTGCTTACAGGGATTGAATGTCAAGGGAAGGGCAGAGAGATGCTTGCCTGGCCCTGCCCACCATCAGCAGGGATCCGTTCCCACCCAGAGGGCCCCCACAATTTCCTACCATTCCCCCAACCCCTTTCAAACAGCCACCTGCTCAAAAATGAGACGCTGCATGTCACAGTTTTAAGCGAAACGTTAAACATTTCCCAACAGGGTGTAAAATTAGCACCAGTACTCCAGCAGAGTCAAGGATAACGGCAGTCTCATGATGGCAGCCAATTATTCTTCTCCCCTGTTGAATATTAACGATGGTAGCAGAAGCAAGACACACAATGAACAGCCAGAGATGGATAATGTGTCATATGCCGTTTGGCTGCTATTCAGGAATCACACAATAAGGCAGTGGAAGGCATATGCCGGGGGGGGGGAGATCTTCTGGGGTCTTGGGGTGGCCAGATTAACAGCTCTTCTTCTGTTCTTTCATACTATTTTATTTTTCTTATTTATTTACATGTGATTTCTATACCGCCCATGACCCCTAATGGGTCTCAGAGCGGTTTACATTAGACTACATCTGTAGTCGAATCCTAACTAGGGCCACAATTTGTGTGGGGAGGGGTTACCTAGCAGCACCCGGACGGCGGCTTTCTCTCCTTCTTGGCGGCTCAGGCGCAGTCTCGGCGCTCCGGGCAATCGGCGACC